ATAGGCAGATTACGTCTGCGACAAATGGGATCCAGGACAAGGGCGACAGCGGGGGCTTGGGCGCCAGTTTCCAAAAAGATGTAGACAAGGCGGCTCGAACGCGAACGGGGCGATAAAGTGGGTGCGAAGATACAGAGGTAGGGCGGGATCGGGGGGGGAGTGATCTTGTTTTGAATTTGGAATTTCAAAGGGGGACGAGGATCGAGGGCTGTTGGAGACCCGAAACAGGTGAGGACGAATTGGGAAGGCAGCGAGGGAGGCTGAGGAAAGAGCGACCAAGCGGTAAAGAGGGCGAGAAACAGGACAACAAGAAAACAACACGAAACGATGGCCTTGGATGTGTAGAACAGCGAAGAGGAAACTGGAAAAGCGACGGCGATCTTGTCCCGCCAGGACGAAGTGTGTCGTATGTTTCTACGACATATTTCGTATGGCTGACGGTCATGTTTCCCACTTTCAGGGCCCAGAGTGGTATCATACGGAGCGCTGTTCTAGGAAAAGCGTGGAGAAAAAAAGGGACATGAAACGTGCATCTGCCTTTCCAGGGGCTCTTGTAGTGGGAAGATGCGGAGGAAGGGGCAGGGCACTAACGCGCTGGATGGCTCCTTCTACTCAACGGCTGGGAGGGTCCTGTGTGGCTACGGTTTTGGCAGGAAGCATCATCGTTCCTGCCCACCCCTTTCTTCGTCTTCGCTACTTTGCGTTGGGGCTCGAGGGGGAGAGCGAAAGAAGGGGGGCTACTGTGCAAGAAAGTGAGCTAGCGCGAGCGCTCCTGGTCGTGAACACGGCGGATTTTAGCAGTGCAGGAGCGACGGCCCCACTCGACGTTCTGACGACACGACGGAGTCAGGAATGAGTTGATCGCTTGTGCACGAAGTGTTGGTTGTCGGAACGGGCTTTTGCCGGTGCACGACGCCGAGGGACGGCTTGGCCCTGGCGAAGCTCGCGGTCCAAGTCCTCTCCAGTGGCCGACGGAGGTCTAGACGTTCTGACTGTCTGACTCTCTGCACAAAGGCGTCTCATTGTGGGTTGCAAAATTTCCCGAGAAATTGTATGCGTCTCCGACGAGACGACATGTTGGGATGGCTTGACTGGCAGGAGAAGCGGAGAACGCAGCTGCAAGGTCCTTCTTCGCATCCGCCGTACGCGCACCAGGTCTTGTGAACGAAGCGGGGTCTCCCATCCGTGTAAATGGCGGTCACTCGACGCTGCAGAATGAGGGAGAAGTGAGGTGACAGTGGCCTGACTGGTGCTTTGTGCGCTTGCAGGAAAGGACAGCACGGTCCGTTTTCCTTTTCTTTCCCTGCTTACAATCGTGACCGTCTGATGTCTAAGCTCGATCGTGCCCTCCCATTTGCACTTTCTTTTTGCCCCTTTATTGGCGTTGTTGGAACTGAATCCGCTGGGTCTCATGGGCACGGATATCTAAGGTTCCTGGACTAGTCTTCTTGCAGACAAGCTTGCAAGGCAGGCACTTTATCGTCTTAGGAAAGGCTGGCTTTTCTTCAGTGGCCGCGCATCACCCTCGTCTCGGCTTCGTTTGTACCTTGTATTGTCCTGTCTCTATCTAGCTTAATACTCCGACACTGACCTTCTCTGTATCTTCTCTCTCTCGCAATTGTTGACTCAAGTGGGCGGTTCGCTGTGATCCAACTGCGTCGCCGTTGCATTGCTCTCCCGACAAACCAGTACCTTGCAACACTACCTTGTACGGCAGTAATGAGGCTTGTAATTACACGCTGGAAGAAAGGCGGGGTGCTTTGGTGGGGCTGCAGCAATACCGCCCAGTTGCGATTACCAACGAAACCAGCCTACCACGGCCCTGTATCTGAACGTCGCGAGGCTGTTGGACGGTCATAGTCACACAGGCCGCGGCTGGGTGTAGCCGTAATGTTTGGGCGTCCTCGGACCGGTTCAGTGATCCATTCCGTTCAAGGCCGGTCCGCTTGTTGCCGTCACTTTGAGATGGCCCATACAACTAACCACACCGTGTCTATGACGGACATTTTGCACGTAACGTACAGTATACATAGCGCTTATGCTGCGACCGTGGTGGCCACACGTGACAAATTCCGCTAGTGAGCCATCTCGACATGATAGCTTAGGCATCCAAACGTCAGCCAAAAGCAGCATCCAAGTGTTTGTCTGTACCGACACGGCTCCAACATCCCAGAACTAGAGAGCAGACAAGACCGATCGTACACCCGCGATGCCCGACGAGCAGGACAAGCTTCCCAGTGAGCTCCAGCTAGCCACCGACGCCCACGTCAAGTACATCCAGAGTCTCAACTCACGCCAAGATGAGTACGAGTACTGGCTGACGGAGCATCTGCGTCTTAACGGTCTGTACTGGGGCTTGGCAGCCCTTTTTTTCATGAGGAGACCGGACGCACTCCCTCGCGAAGAGACAATTGCCTTTGTGCTGTCGTGCCAGTGCGAGAACGGTGGCTTCGCGGCAGCGCCGGGCCATGATGCACATATGCTCTATACCGTGAGCGCTGTCCAGATTCTGGCCATGATCAATGCCCTGGACGAGCTTGACAACCGGGGTGGCGGCCGAGAGGCCGTGGCACAGTGTACGTCTATTCGTGACTGCTACTGAGCCCCTAAGCGACTTGTGCTGCTAACCGTCCAATTAGTCATTGCCAACCTCCAGAACCGCTCCACGGGGACATTCCAAGGCGACGAATGGGGCGAAGAGGACACCCGGTTCCTCTATGGTGCCCTGAATGCTCTGTCGCTGCTTGGTCGCCTGTCGCTTGTCGACGTCGACAAGGCTGTTGCATACGTCGCCGCCTGCGCCAACTTTGACGGCGGCTACGGCGTGCGCCCCGGCGCCGAGTCCCACGCCGGCCAGGTCTTTACATGCTTGGCGGCACTGTCTGTCGCCGGCCGCCTCGACCTCGCTGATGCCGACAAGGTCGGCCGTTGGCTGAGCGAGCGTCAAGTTCCCAATGGTGGACTCAACGGACGACCCGAGAAGAAGGAGGACGTCTGCTACAGCTGGTGGGTGCTGAGCAGTCTGGCCCTGGTCAAGCGTCTGCACTGGGTTGATCGCGACGCGCTGATTGCGTTTATTCTGAGCTGCCAAGATCCAGAAAATGGTGGCTTCGCCGACCGCCCGGGCAACATGGTTGATGTGTGGCACACCGTCTATGCATTGGCAGGATTGTGTCTGCTCGACTTTCCGGGGCTGGAACCCGTACACGCAGGATATTGTATGCCCAAGGCGACGATTGCAAATGTTCTTGGAGGCGGTGCCGCACCACCGTTATGATCTGGAAGCGGGGACAAAGACGTCACTTTTTGATTTCATTGCCAGTTTATTCACCGATCCCATTATCTGGCAAAAGTGCTATGGCTCAATCTGTCGTTCAGCCATTTAATTCTCTTGCTCCATTTTCGCATGTCAGGATTACATATGTAGCATTTCTCGGTCGAAGCGTGGCCACCATTTCTGCATCTCATCTACACATTTAGAAGTACTGCCATCCACATCCTATTCAGAACAACCGGTTTCCATTCATATCCTAGTCCAAGTGCGTTATTCAATCTCTAGCTATTTTGCGCCTTTCTCAAATAACGGACAATGGCCAGCCGATGCTGCTTACGTACTCGTTTGCGGCCTCGGTCATTTCTACGGTGCAGTTATGAGCACAATGGCCAGCCCATTTGGGAAGGAAGGCCTCGTTGGTCTCCTTCGCACCTTCCTCACCTCGAAAAAAAGATGGCTGGCCAAAGCACGAGGAAGAGAGGGCCCCCCAACCCCAAAACCTTATGCCCCGCGACATATTTCTGCTCTCGACATTTTCAGTCCTTCCTGCCCTTTTTGAACTATTTTTCATGACACGACAGGCAAGAACGAGCAACCAAACGACGCAACACCAACCCAGCTCGAACGCGCCTTCCTCAGATGATCTGCTCTTGCCGTCTTTCTTTACTTCGGTCAAGATACAGTCGTTCTTTCTTCAAACTCGTGGCGTTGTACGCACAGAACAGGAAATCACGTCCCGTCTCTCCTGAGCTCCTTCTCATTTCGCTCTCTTGCAACCCTATTCTGGGTGCCGTCTGATCGTGTCGTTCCTTCTTGTTTCCGCACTTGCTGTCATCTCTTTTGTTTTCTTACCCCTTTTCTTTCGACCTCGCTGGGGTCGCCAACCCCCTTTTCCGAGCATCTTACTGCCGGTATCCTTCTACCTGCCGTGTTTTCTTCTTTCCCTCGTCTCCCGCTCTCTTCCATCCTTTTCTCTTCCTCGTCACTGTTTACATCGCATCTCCTTCTCCTTTTCTCCTTCTGCCTTTCTCCACCTTTCGTTGAGATCATCTTCTTTCCAGCAGCAAATATGGATTGCTCCTTGCTAGAATTTGATTTTCGGCTACTCGCCATCGAGTCGTCCAGATTCATTCTGAACACAAACGTCAGTCAACATCGAGATTCCTGAAAAACAGCTTGAATATTCAAGTCCACCCTGCTAACCATTTTTTTCATCAGGCTCTTACTTTTGCATCACAAGATACCCTCTCGCTCCTTCCACCTCTCTATAAGTGTGGCACCGTGGAAATAGACAAGACTCCAACAGGACATCAGCAGAGAGGACCTTATGTGACAGGCCCTTTACCAGTTTAATCCACAAAGGACTACCAACTGTCCTTCGTTCTCTACCTTTCCGATCGCCCTCTTGATGTAAGCCGTGCTCTTTTTTTTCCCCTCTTTCCTTGGTTCATCCGCTTGCCCTATCTCGCAACTTGGAATTCCACTCCTCCTTCACAATCATTTTACAAAGAAGCGCACTCCTCTTTCCCATCTTGCATCATTTTATCTCGATGGCAAAGTGTCTCGGCCGCCTACCGGGAAGCATATGCCGTCCAATCTGAAATCAGATTGCAGTCGCAGTTATTTTTTATTTATGACACATCCGGCACCTGCGTATTTTCGTTGCCTGCATCTAATGTCAGTTTTGAAAAAACGCTGGCTGACCTCAGTTTATTCTCAGATCAAAATGGCTTCTGTTAAAAGAATCGAAACTCGCGCTCCGGCTGTGACCCAGGTTACAACTCCATCTGCTGCAGCTTCATCTGTTGCGGCTGCTATACCCTCAGCTGTTGAACCAAAAGTTGACCTTGCAACCAAGGCAGATGCCGCCGCTTCTGCGGACACGGTCACAGTCCCGGTGGATGCCGAGCACTCCATCACACTGCAGTGCACTCTTTGTCCCAAGAATCCGGCCTTCTCGGATGCCTCTCACCTCCTGACTCACATCTCCTCCAAGGCTCACCTCCAACAGCTATTCAACGTGGGGCTCAAAGCAAAGACCGACACCGCTGCGAAAGACAAGCTGGAGAAGTTTGAGAAGTGGTACGCTGACAATGACATTCAGCGTCTCCTGGCCGAGAGAATGTCATCCAAAAGTAAGGGAAAGGCAGCACCTCGCCGCAGTCGGGCAGCAGCTACTCCTGTAAGTTTCTTATGCACCATACTGCGCTGCTTCTTTTACCTCTCTACCACTTCAGATTCAAGTGAGCACGTGCTAATTGGTATTTTATAGAAGGCCAAGCCCCGGTCAGCCAGCGCCATCGAGCATGTCAAAAATGATACAGATGGAGCGTCAGCCCATCGCACTCCTACCCTTCTGCCTCCTCTGGCTCACTGGAACACTGCGCCATCTGGTCGTGACAATGCCTACTCTTCGGGGAGAGACATGCACTACCTGAATGGGACGCTCTACAACACCCCGACCCCGACAATACCACGTTCTGGAAGTCACGCCGGATACGCTGAGGAGAGTGGCATTGCCATGGAGAGCAATCCTGGTAGCCGTGGTGACAATTATAGCGTGGCTCCTCCATCTGAGGCCGACTCGTCTTTTGAGGCCAACAAGCTCAAGGGCATCATTTGGCCTGGTATGGATCTATTTGATTCTGCCACACCGGACCAAAAGAAGAAAAGAAATCAAAGAAAGGACGACAATGCCATTGACGTGCTCAAAACCGCCTCGCTGAATATCACCCCCACTGAGCAGGTCTGGGGTCCTCAACTTGAGATTCGCAAGGAGCGTGACCTTTACGCGAGCCCATCGTCCAATGAAGGCACTCCGCCCAACACACCGCCAACTCGCAAGAGGAAGTCGCGGGCTCGGAACTCTGCCCAGTCGGATTTGACGCCACTCGGCATGATGAAGGTGGAGGACGGACAGGGTGGGCCGCCGTCCAAAAGACGCAACGTGCGTGCGTCTGGTAGCCGGACAACTTCCAAGGCTCGCGCAACACGACCATTGGCCCGGGCCGCTGACAAGGCAAGGGACAAGACGACGGCTGGACCTCGGGAGACATCAGCAGAGATTGAGGAAGCGGTCTATGCCTTGAGTAACCACAACCCCAAGCCGAGAAGTGCCTTTAATGTCTACTATGAACAGAGCCACACTCAAGGTAACTTTGTGCTCGACTATGCGGACGACGGCGACCTGTTCGGATTGGACCTACCTCTTCTTGACCCTGTATTATATACATTACTGACATAGTTGCAGTCGATCCGCAAACGTCTATGTCTGATGCATCTCACGGGAACACGTAAGATAGCCACATTTGTTTGGTTTTTTTTTCTTTTTTTTTTTTTTTTTTTTTTTCCGTTTTTGGTTTTCTTTTCTTTTTGTTCTGGCATGGTTGTTGCTAACCTGACTTGATACAGCTTCGACCCACTGTTGAACAACCGTCCCGCTCTGCAGCAGCTCGATTCGAACCTCTCTATTACTGATGGCTCTCCTTACTTCAAGCATTCGACCTCCTCTAGTCAATTCTTCAACAACGGTAGACAGTCGCCGCACTTGCCTCCATATCAAAGTACTCAGCCGACAGCGTACGGCAATGGCTACCAGGGGATGAGCAACAACACTCTCAGTTCACTCTACACCCAACCCCGGAGCGGTACTAGCAGCTTGTACCCGCCCTTTGACAGCCAGATGTTCAGTGGAAACTCGGGCAGCACGACCGACGGCACCACTGGCACGTTTCATGCTCCTGACAACCGGCGTGTCGGCTATGGGGGATTCAGCATGGAGCCGACTGGCAGCCCTTTCGGGTACACCGACCAGCGGGATGGTAGCCTCCGGAACACCAACTACGCGGACCTTACACTCCCGGGCCCGGACCGCCTATTTGAGCTGTGAGCTGTGGGCCGTGGGCTGTGAGCATTGATCGCCAAGAGGTAGCCTATGTGTGAACTTGTACAATTGCTGGAGCTTTGCGAGTTTGGTCGTTTTATTATTCGTCTGCGAGAAATGTCGGACTAGGGTCGACTGAACAACGTCAACGACATCGGGACGGTGTGCAACAGGGCATGGGAAATACCGCGAGGGCATGTTTACTGCGGTCTACGTTTGCAATTATTTGGTTCGTGTGTTTCAATTTGCGTGTTTACCTTTACTTTGTACGGCGTTGGCGGAAGAACAATTGCAACCGGGCAGCAGTCGTCGGACAATGGGCATCGGAAAGGATTACAAAGAGGGCGACTTTCAAGGCGGAAAATTCTTTGATTTTATATTGCATTTGCATGGCAACCCGGTTTCATTATATGTTATAGAATTTATTTCTTCCTTTCCGTTTTCTTCCATCTTGCTTTCATTCGTCATTTTTAATATCAAAATCGAGTCAGATGGTTGCGTTTACAAGCATACATGATTGAGACAGACCAGACCGCCGGCTATGAGTGTAGTTCTATGTTGGTTGTGTGATGTGATTGCAAGTTTGTCCAGGAACGATCAAGACGCACAAAAGACTAGAGCTGCTCAATGCTCGCGATGAGATGGTCGAGTTGGTCCGCGGCCGCTGCACGCGAGTCCGAGTCGGTCGCCGGCGACAGCGCGTCGCCAAGGAGCCGCGCGGCCGCGTGCAGACGGCGAGCGCGCACATCGTCCTCCATCTCACGCGACTTGCGCGCTGCGACGTCGAGGACGCGCTGCGGGATGCGGGCGAGGCGGGCGACGTTGAGGCCGTACGAGCGGTGGGCCATGCCCTGGCCGACTTCGTAGAGGAAGGTGATTTCGTGGGGTGTGGGTGTGTCGCTGTCGGTGTTGTCATCGGCGTCGTCAGCCTCGGGCCGCGTCGCCGTAAACCGCATGTGCACGTTCTGGACGACGCCCGGCGGCGGCCCCAGCGCCTCGGCGACGCGGCCCAGGTTCTGGTAGTGGGTGATGAAGAGCGTGAGACACTGCGTGGTGGTGGCGACGTGGGCCAGCACGGCCTGGGCAATGGCGGCGCCGTCGTGGGTGCTGGTGCCGCGGCCGAGCTCGTCGAGGACGACGAGGGAGCGGGGGGTGGCGGCGCGCAGGATGGCGGCGGTCTCGGAGACCTCGACCATAAAGGTGGACTCGCCGGCAAACAGGTTGTCGCGGGCGCCCATGCGGGTGTAGATGGCGTCGGCGAGGGTCAGGCGCATGGCGTCGGCGGGCACGTAGGAGCCGATCTGGGCGAGCAAGGTCAAGAGGGCGACGGCGCGCACAAAGGAGGACTTGCCGCCCATGTTGGGGCCGGTGATGAGCAGCGCGCGGGGGCCGGCGCTGCCGTCACCGCCGTCGCCGCCGAGTCGTGTCGTGAACGGAATGTAGCCCGACGGCAGCGTGTGCTCCGCTACCGGGTGGCGCCCGCCCTGAATGTCGAGCGTGGCCGGCGTGTCCTTCGCATCGTTTGCGTCGGCCGACGTCGGCAGCAGCGTGGGCTTGCAGTAGCCCGGCAGGGCGGCGACACGGGCCAGCGACAGCAGGGCGTCCAGGGTGGCCAGGGCGGCGACGGCGTCGCGCAGCGGCTGGTAGCAGGCGGCCAGGTCGGCGAGCAGGGCGGCAAAGGCGGCGTCGCAGGCGGCGGCCAGGGCCTCCTTGTGCTGGTCGCGCTCGCGCAGGAGGCGCACGACGGTCGGTGTGTGGAAGCGCGAGGCACGCTTGGTGCCGCTCACCTTGACCCAGGACGCGGGCACGCGGCGCAGGTCCGTGTTGAGCACCTCGACGAGGTACTCGATGCCGGCGACGGTGACGTACGGCGGCTTGTTTTTCTTGGCCAGCGCCGACGCAATGTCTGCCCGGTGCGCCTCGAGGTCCATCTCGACGGCCGCGATGCCCATCTTGTAGCCGGCCATGTCGGCCGTCTCGTGGGCCTCGCGGAAAAAGGCGTACTTGTCGTCGCGGCGCGCGGCGTCGCCGTTGATCTTGTCGAGGTGCGCGACGACGGTGTCGTGGATGGCGGGCAGCGCGTGCAGCGCGTCGCGGAGCAGGGGCGCCCGGAACCCGTCGACGCTGAACTCGACGGCCGCCGCCGACGTCGACGGCACCGTGCTGATGTAGGCGGACGCAATGCGCTGCAGCGTCTGCAGGACGGCCACGAGCTCGGGCCGCGTGCACTTGCCGTAGTAGATGCGGAGCAGGCTGCGCTCGAGGTCGGTGGCGCGCGTGCTCGTCAGCAGGCGCTCCAGCTTGTCGCGGCGGCCGGCGCCGGCGGCGGCCAGCAGCTCCTCGACGGCGGCCACGCGGGCCGCGAGCAGACGGCGGTCGAGCAGCGGGCGGCCGATCCACTTGCGCAGGAGGCGGTGGCCCGGGCGCGTGGTGGTCTTGTCGAGGGCCCACAGCAGGCTGCCGCGCAGGCCGTGGTCGGTGGCGTTGCGGTAGACCTCGAGGCTCTCGAGGGTGGTGCCGCTGAGCAGCATGTGCTGGCGCGTGCTGAAGGCGGCAAAGTACTTTGTGAGGGCGAAGATGTGCTGCAGGCCGTACTCGGTCAGGTGCGTAATCATGGCGGAGAGGCAGACGGTGACGGGCGGCGCCAGGGACAGGACGGTGTCGAGCAGGCGGGCGCGCTCGTGGCTGTCGCTGTCGCTGTCGCTGGCGCCTGCCGCGGCCACGCTGTCGGCGTAAAACTGGGCCACGTGTGTCTGGGCGTCGGCCGGCGCGCCGGCGGCGACGCGCTCGACGCGCGTGCGGTCGCCAAAGACGTTGGCGGCGCTGCCGCTCAGGTGCTGGACCAGCTTCTCGGTGGCGCGCGACAAGGCGCCGACCAGCAGCAGCTCGCACGGCGCAATGTGCAGCAGCCGCGTCTCCATCTCGCTGCGCATAAAGCCGTCCTCGAAGCTGTCGTACAGAATGTCGCCCGTGGCCGGCTGCACGGCCAGCAGGCCGACGGTGACCTTTTCGTCGGCCCCGAGGCCCCCGCGCTGTGTTTCGGTCAGGCATAACAGATAGCCAGCCGATGTCGACGATGTAGACGATGTCGACGACGCTGTCGCATCGTCACCCAACTCCCCCATGTCGTCAATGTACGTCCCCTTGGTGTACACGCTCGTCAGCTTGCGCACAAACGGCGCGTTGCGGTTGTCGCCCGCCTTCTTAAGCGCCGCCGTCTCCATCTGCCGCACCACGCCCACCTTGTGCCCCGCCGCCACCAGCCGCTTCACGTGCACCGGCAGCCGCGCCACCGGGAAGCTCGCCGACGCGAACCGGTCCAGGTGCGCCTCCGACGGGTGCTCGTCGTACCGCAGCTTGCCGGGGATGCACACAATCCCCAGCGTGCGGGCGGCCATGCGCGCGTCTTCGCCGTAGATGCGGAACTTGTACCCGACCTCGACCACCAGCAGCGTGTCGAGGTGTTGCCGCTTGATGGCCAAATACTGCTGGTCGCCCGGCGTCAGCTTGCCCGCCGTCTTTTTCTTGCCCGCCGCCGGCTTGCCACGCCCGGCCGCCGCCGCGCTGTCGTCGTCGCCGTCCCCCGCGTCGTCCCCCGCGTCCTCCGCGTCCTCGTCGCCCGCCCCGTCGGCGTCTTTGCCTTCGTCGCCCGCCCCGTCAATGACGAAATTGCGTCGTCGCAGCTTGGCCAGGCTGTCTGGGTGGCCGAGCTTCTTGACAAACTTGCGGTGCAGCTCGGCCTTTTTGCGTTTCGTCTCGGGGTCATCGGATTCGGACGAGTCGGCCGGGTCTTTGTCGGCGGCGGCTCGGTTGTCCCCGAGTGCCCGCCCCGTCTCCGCGTTCTGCGACCGTGTCTCGTCGTAGATGTAGCGTTCTGTCCGACCGGAGCTACGCAACGGCGATGGCTGTGCGGCGGCCGTCTGCTTTGGAGCATCGTCCCTGTCATCCCCGTCGTCCCCGTCTTGTCTGTTCTCCTCCACGGTTTTTGGGACAAAGTCGTCGTCGCCGCCGTCGTCGTCGTCCACATTGTCTTCGCTGTCGTTCTCCTCATCGTTGCCCCCTCTCGCCCGCTTCACGGCCCGGGCAAATCGACTCCGGCCGCTGCTGCCGTCCGTGGTGGTCTTGGCTCTGCTCGTTGCGCCATTCGGTCCGCTCCCACGCTGTCTCTTGTTCTGGTCGACCTCGTCTTCGAGAGGTCGTTTCAGTTTCCGAGAGGGCAGCGACTGGGAGGGACTCGACGACGGCAGTGCATTGCTGGTGCCCGCACTCGGCTTGGGTGTAAAGAAGCTCGTCAGAGTCGCCTGCTTCTTTTGCGACGGCCCCGGTGTCGACATTGTGAGTGGTGGCGACGAGTATATTCCGTGGTTGCCAGTGTTGGCATGTGGCCAGTGTCATCAGTGTCGAGAGTGTCGTCAGTGTCGAGAGTGTAGTCAATAGTCAATGCCGATCTGGACGACTGCCTTGGCAGCCGGCCGCTAAAACGCGTCTTTCCAGCGCCTGAGGAGACGCGTTGAGCGGTTGCGCCTAGGCGTCATTGCGATTAATAAAAGTGGATCGATATTATGTAATGTTGTTAACCACATCCGTCAACACCATTAACAACAAAGCATGAATAGACCACGGAGGACAACAGGGAACTAATCGGAGAGCGAGAAACAATGTGAGAAATGCTGAAAATAGACATTGAGGCGACTTATGGCGACTGTGTTTGAAGGTAGACAAACAGACAAGCAGACAAGCAGACAATGGCAGCAATTCTTGCACGCATTTTCCTGACGGAGAACCCAGATTGTGTCCAGCAGATGAGTGTATCGAGTCGATATTCTTTGTTTCCATTTTGTTTAAATAAAATAAATAAAAAAGAAAAGAAAAGAAAAATCCAAGGCCAATATCTATGCTGTCTTGAAGGCTCAATGTTTGTTCAATGTCTCCGCAGCACATGAAACATTGACGACGAAAAGCAGCAGAGTGACTGAAAGAAACGACCGTCCCTTGCGTATTTCGAC